ATCCACAAGTTGCAGGTACAAAAAAAAAAAAAAGCTACTTTATAGAAAGAGGGCTTAGAATAGCATCCTATCCCCTATTTATTTATTTATTTATTTATTTATTTATTTATTTATTTATGTGGTACCAGGGATCAAACCCAGGACATTGTACCTGCAAGTCAGGCACAGTGCCACTAAGCTAAATTCCCAGCCCCCCCTTTATTTTTATTTTGAGGCAGGGTCTCATTGAATTGCTCAGGATGAACTCAAAACTTCTTGTAATATATGTCAAATTAAGTAAAAGGCCATAATCTCTGGGTGTGGTGGCGCACACACACACTCAAATACACACACTATATATACATATATATGTGTGTGTGTGTCCTAGTCATCAATCTTTTTTGCTTGAATTTTTGTAATTTCTTTTAAAATTCACTTTATAATTTCACCTTGCTCTCTGCAAATTTCCTACAGAGTATAAAAAAGTATCAACAACAAAAAAGAAATATATTACTTCTGCTGCCTTCCTGTCAAGCGCAGTGTCCCAAGTTCAATCTCCATTACCCCCCCAAATCTGTCTCTCTATTTAGATCGATAACTTTATTGGCCTCATAGAAATTCCAGTTATGAAGCTTAAATGGGACAGACATAAAGATTTTATTTATTTATTTTACAAAGTATACTTTTTATTCTGTGTGCTAAGTGTACAAATTATCCCACTTCCCCTGAGAAGTATCACATCTAAAATACACTTGGATGAGCATCAAATATTAAAATATTCTAGGACACTGGGTAAGTGGATTAAATAGAAATGAACGCAACTACATATTCTCCAAATTTCTATTATAATATATCATGGAGACAAATGTTTGGATTTATTTTTCAATTCAGAAGTCTTCTGGCTGTTCTTCTATGAAGGGTTTGAGAGGAGAAAAGGCAATCAGATTCCCACTAAAGGAGAGAGTTGGGTCCCATCTGGGTGAAGTGGTGGTTGCAGGTTGCAGGTGAATCAAGAAGGTATTCAGTAGGGTGACTTTTGGTATCAAGTAGTACTGACTGAGAGCTTTTAGCTGCTGCTTCTTGTAAGATGTTATTTTGTGATGGTGAATTTTTTCCAAGACTATTCATCAGAATATCTTGTTCAGTAAATGGATTCAGTTCCATTCCTTCCACAACACCTGAGCTTTCCTCTTTTTTATTAGTCATATCAGGTACTCCACCAGTAAGAAGATGCAAGCTCATTGTTTCATGGGGTCAGTACTCCATATCGAAGTCTGTCTTATTTATGTCACAGTTCATTTCAATTAAATCTTGTAATCCAGGATACTACTGTGTTGTTCCTGCTTTCAGGAATATTTGGAAAAAAAATCTTCTTATCACTAAAAGACATAAAGTCTTTAGCACTTAACACAAAGAACGCAACATTGTTTGAGTCATTTTTCATTACTATATTTTCAGATCCTGGTTCACCACACAGTTGGAATTTTAAAAATATTGTTTCTGGGTCTGATCCTGTTGAGTTGTAAAACACTTTTTATAGCATGTTGGAGTCCTTAGGTTCCATCCCCAATGCCACCAATAATGAAAGAAAAAGAGAAAGAAGAAGAGGAAGGAGGGGAGGGGAAGGAAGGAGATGAGAGGGAGGAAGGGAAGAAAGAACAGAAAAAAAATGGAAAAAACCCCACTTCTGCAATGTTTTCCCTTCCCTGTGTAATAAACGTGCCATTGTACCAAAACATATTTTTTGTGTGTGCAGTGCTTGGGTTGGGCCTCGGGTATATCTAGATGTTTTACCAAAGCTTCATATGCTCTTAGGTGGGGCTTCTGGAAAGTCAATGAATCAAGGAAGCATGATGCTCATCCGTGGATTAGTGATGACCAGGCGGCCTGACCTACCTCCTTCCTCCTCCCTTAATCTCTGGCTGCTTCCTGCCTGTCATACCATTTGCAACTCTCCTGTGCGATGCCTTTCTGCTGTGCTGCCTTGCCTTGGAGACAGCCCACTATGGGCTGAAACTTCTACAAACTGAGCCAAAATAAACCTTTCCTTCTTTAAATTGTGGGTGTTAGGGACTGTGTCTCAGTGACCAGAAAGTAAGACACATGCTATTCTGATCTTCATCACTGAGCTATTTACCTAGCCTGCCTTTTTTTATTTGTTTGTTTTTGCAGTGCTGAGGACTGAACTCCAGGTTTCATGGTGCCAGGCTACATTCCTAGCCACTTTCTGACAGAATCTTTTTTTTTTTTTTTGAGACAGGGTTTCACTATGTAGTTGAGACTGACCTGGAACTCACTGTGTAGCCCAGGCTGGTCTCGAGCTCACAGCGATCCTCCTGCTTCAGCCTCCCGAGTGCTGGGATTACAGGCGTGAGCCACCACACCCAGCCCCTAGCCACTTTCTTATGTTGATACAGTTTCTAAATTCCATGCTGACCTGGAACTTGTCATCCTCCTATCACAGGCTATAGAGAAATTAGCAGGGATTACAGGATTGTGCATCTTTGCACAGCTCCATTATCTCCTTTTTAAAATAAATTTTATTGGTACATTTAAAGTATACAGTATAATGACGTTCATCATTGGAAATTTGCACCTTTACATAATCCATCTTGGTTCTTATTTTCCATTATCTCTTGGGTTTGTTTTTTGTTTGTTTTTTGGTCTTTTGGGGTACTGGGGATTGAATTCGGGTCCTTGCATCATCACAAGTATCAGGTTCTTTCTATTTTTCTTTTTTTTTTTTTGTACCAGGGTTCAAACTCAGGACATTGCACTTGCAAGGCAGGTGGCAAGAACCACTGAGCCAAATCCCCAGGCCTCCTTATCTTTTGATGCCAGAAATTTCACTGTAATTTAAGAATTTGACTCAAAGCCGGTCGTGGTGGCACACACCTGTAATCCCAGCACTCGGGAGGCTGAGGCAGGAGGATCACTGGGAGTTCGAGACCAGCCTGGGCTACAAAGTGAGTTCCAGATCAGTCTCAACTACATAGTGAGACCCTGTCTCAAAAAAACAAAATAAATAAATAAAATAAAAGAAGAACTTGACTCAAGTATGACAACAGAAATCTTCCTGGAAGCTGAAATAATAATAATATTCAGATAATGGGAAAACAAGGCTTACTGTGTCAAACCATAATTTAAGAATTTTTAACTATAAAAGGAATTTTGAAAATTATGAGGAGGGCTTCATAAAAGGCAGAAAGGCCCTCTTAAAAGGCTTTGCTTTGACATAGAACCCTGAATTCTTGGCTTAGAAGAAACCTTTAGAAATGGGGCTTCTTCTGGGTATGATGGTGCACACTTGTAATCCCAGCCCAGCCTGGGGCAATTTAGCCAGACCCTGTCTCAAAATTTAAAACAGGGGCCGTGTGTGTGTGTGTGTGTGTGTGTGTGTGTGTGTGTGTGTGTTGGGATATAGCTCAGTGTGAAGGCCCTAGGTTCAATCCTCCATACTAAAAAACAAAATAAAGGGCTGGGGATTTAGCTCAATGGCACCATGTCTGCCTGGCAAGTGCAAGGTCCTGGGTTTGATTCCCAGTACCAAATAAATAAATAAAATAAAACTTAAAAAATACCTATGAGTGCTTCAACTGAAAACTCAGCTAAGACCTTTTAGGCAATTCCCTTGGGAAAAAAAGCTAAACCCTGTCTTTAAAACAGTCTCTTAAGAGACTTTGGCACTAGTGACATTTTTGGACGGATAATTCTTTGCTGTGAGGAGCTATCCTATGCATTGGTAGGATCTTTGACAATATCCATGACCCCTAGTCACTAACTAGATGCCAGTAGCAGCACGCCCAGTTGAAAAACACTAGATAACTTGGCACCAATATGATCATAAACATAATCAGGCATGGAAAACCCATTTTTGTTACAAGGTGATCAGCTAGATGATCCAGGACTTGCTGAAGATAATTTTTAAAATACTAGAAAAGGAAAGAAAACTAAAGTCTTCCCTTGAAAATCTGTACCTCCTCCCTCAAGTTCAAGAAATAATATTACAAATCTTAGTCCTGAAAAGTATCATTTCTTTTATAAGTAGTTGAGAAGACTAAAATAGCTCGATGGTAAAGCAACTTGCCCACAATGCCATCACTAGTAAGTGGGCAGGTTAGGACTAGAGGTGCAGAAAGTCTCATTACAGAGTTTTCCAATAGGCCTCGCCTTCAAACACTCAGAGCTATGCAATCCTCAACAGATCATTTAGATTTATTCTGTGGGGTTCCAAGGACCATAATTAGGACATACAAAGTGCCAGTTTCAGCACAATGTAAGGGAAAATATTCAACTACTATGTCAAAATTTAGTTAAGGGAGAAAAAGGTAACATAAACATATAAATGATGGGAAGAATGAACACTGGTGAGCAAGACTTCAGACCCAGGCAAGAACTAGAGCTTGCCAGGCAGATAACAGCTGCCAACTTTCCGCAGGTTCTACTGGATCCTGCTCGAAAGTCTCAGCGGGCTCCAGAAGAAAACTACAACTTCCATGAGACAACGCAAGTAGAGGTGGGCGGGCACTTGCGCGCGGGGGCGGACCTGACCAATAAAGACTGTCGTTACAGAGAACAGTTTGGTCGCGTTTGTAAAAGGCCGCAGCAGACCAAGAGAGAAGAGGTGAGGGGCGGTCATCAGCGAGGGTCCCTGCGGGTGGGGGGCGCGGGCCAGGTAAGGGGGCTGTGGTAAGAGAGTAGGGGTCGGCGGTGGGACATAGATGTAAGTCTGGGGATTAGGCGAAGAGCGTATCCGAGGAGCAGGCTGAGGGTTAGGTGATGCTTCTTCTTGGGCCCACTTAGCACCGGAAGTGAGTGGGCACGCGGGGAGGACGCCGGGAAGCAGGTCCCTGGGTCGTCGGTCGGATTCCGGAAGCCAGAGGGGAGCAGAGCTTGCGTCTGCGAGACCCTGGCGCCCTTTTCCCACTAGTCTGAGGATGCTTGGAGTTAATGTGCCCCTCCTTTCCACTTTTAGTTTGACAGAAATACAGCGGATTCCAAATTCACTTTAAAATTCTCTCTGAGACATTTTCATCAAATCTGAGCCACAGTTTCATCTCTTAAGATGGGTAAAATAGGATTTTCATAGATTCGTGCGAGCATTTAACATGAGTAAATGTATAGAAAGGGCTTAACACAGAGAAGACTTGGATACATACTTATGTCGGGTTATTTTGGGGTGTGTGTGTGTGTGTGTGTGTGTGTGTGTTTATCGGGAATCGTACTCAGGAACTTGTGCTTGCCCGGCAGGCATGGCGCCACTGAGCTACATCTCTGTCCCTTGTTTTGTTGTTGGTTTGGTTTTTTGGGTACCGGGGATCGAACTGAGGACCTTGTTCTTGCCAGGCAGGCACAGCGGCACTGAGCTACATTCTCTGCCCCCTTGTTTTGTTTGTAGTCCAGGCTGGCCTTAGAACTCCCAACGCCAGTCCTCTTGCTGGAGAGACTGTAAATTAACCCCCTTGTTTTGTTTTTTAAGACAAGGTTTCGCTTTGTAGTCCAGGCTGGCCTTAGAACTCCCAACGCCAGTCCTCTTGCTGGAGAGACTGTAAATTTGCCAAGAAGAGACTTACAAGAAAGTTCATTTCAAAGACAGGTTCTTCACAAGTTGTGTTGTTTGTTTATGCTTTCAATATAGACTCAGTACTAGTCCATGATTGCTTGTTTGTTTGTTTATTGGCAGTGGGGATGGAATTGAGGACCTTGCCAGGCAGGCAATGGCACCAGTGAGCTACATCCTCAGCCTGCTAGTACATGTTTTAAAATCCAAATAGTACAAAACAGATATAAGTCCTAAATCACTTATGAGGCAAGAGATGTATATGTACAGAGAGATAGAGGTCAAAAACTATGGTGGGTGTTTAATTTTAAAAATCTGTTGGGGGCCGGGGATTTAGCTCAGTGGTTCTGCCTCCTGTCTTGCAAGTGCAAGGTCCTGATTTGGATCCCCGGTACCAAATAAAAAGTAAATAAAGGTGTATTACAGTAAAAGGCACACTACGATCAGTCCTCAAAATAATTCCCCTTGCTTCAAACACAGCCTATTGTTCTTAGCAATGTGTCTTTTACTGCAGTTTTTTAAAAAATTTAGACTTTCACCTTATATCTCTTCTTTATTATAACTAAGAGGAGCATATACACAAAAGTACTATAGCTGCTTTTTCACATCTTTTTACCCCCAGTACTGGGAAATGAGGCCAAGGCCTTCACATTGAGCTATGTGGTCTGGATAAATTAGTAAGTTATCTAGTCTGGGCTCAATTTGTGATCTTTCTGCCTCATTCAGCCTCCCGAGATGCTGAGATTACAGACATGTGCCACTTTACCTGACTCTTAGTTCTTTGCTGATGAGCTCTTAAACTCTTTTTGTTTTTTTGCAATTAATAGGCATATGGCAGTGGCTGGGTGTGGTGGCGCACACCTGTAATGCCAGCACTCTGGAGGCTGAGGCAGGAGGATTGCTGTGAGTTTGAGACCAGCCTGGGCTACATACACAGTGAGTTCCAGGTCAGTCTCAACTACATACAAACAAACAAATAAACAAAAAACCCACATATGACAGTGAGTCCCTTTTTGTGCATTTTATACAGAGGAGGTGGAATTGAAATTGCTAAGGCAAAGTGTATACAGTATTACTTTTATTTACACCCTTTCCAGAGAACATTGCAGTTTACACAATGTAAAAGCATTTCTCCAATCTCCTCATGAATACAGTGATAACTGTCTTTTTTTCTTCTTTTCTTATCATTTTGCTGAAGTATTACTTTATTTGCAGCACTGGGGATCCAATCTCCAACCTTGAACATGCTACAGAAGTACTCTGACACTGAGCTATTCCCCCATTTTTGTTACTTTGTTTTAATTTGCCTCTTGGTTGCTGTAAAATTGTTTTTTCACACATGTAAAATAAATTTTCTTTTTCATATCTCAGTTGCCTTTTTATGCACCTTTCTTTCTTACTTAGTTTTTGTGGTACTGGAAATTGAACCAAGTACCTTTATGCTAAGCTACATCCCAGACCTTTTTTATTTTTTGTTTTGAGACAGGGTCTCTCTAAATTGCCCAGGCTGGGATGGAACTTGTACTCTTCCTGCCTCAGCCTCCAGAACTGCTAGGATTACTATGCTGTCACACCCCATTCCTTTCCTTTCCTTTTTTTGTTTTTTGAGGCAGGGTCTCCCTTTGTAGTTCAGGCTGGCCCTGAACTCACTGTGTAATTCATGCCCAGCTCTCCTTCCCCTTTTTTGTAATGGATTTATTTCTCTTTTTTTGGTTGCCAGAGGTGGATTTGTTTACTGATTTGGTTTTTTGTTTTTTTTGTTTGTTTTTTTGAGAAAGGGTCTCATTATGTAGTTGAGACTGACCTGGAACTCACTATGTAGCCCAGGCTGGTCTCGAACTCACAGCAATCCTCCTGCCTCAGCCTCCTGATTGCTGGGATTATAGGCATGAGCCACCATACCTGGCTTGTTTACTGATTTGTTAAAACTCTTTGCTTGGGCATTTAAATTTTCACATTTTTGCTCTTTTAAAAATAATAATAATAGCTTTAGTTGGGTGTGGTGACACACCTGTAATCTCACCCCTTGGGAGGCTGAGGCAGGAGGATGGCTGCAAGTTTGAGGCCAGCCTGGGTTACATAGTGCGTTCATGGACAGACTATACTACCCTGTCTCAAAAATAATAACATCTTATTAAATACTCAACACAAAACTCATCTATTTAAAACATGTTACTATTTAGAGGTTTTAGTACATCCACATCATATAGCCTTTTATTACCCCCAAAATAAACTTGTAACTATTCTCCATTCCTACTAATTCCTCCTTCTCTCCCTTGGCAAGTACTGTGTATTTTTCCTATTCTGGATATTTATTTAAATGGAATTACCCAATCCATACTCTTTTGTGTGTAGCATATTGCAGATACCTAAATAAGTATGAGAAATGTTAACATAATTATTCATTAGAAATTGGCAAATAAAACTACAAGGTCATACTATTCTATAATCCCACAATAATCATATAATCAAATGCTTATAATAAAGAAGACCATAATAAATATTGGCCAGGAAGTAGCGAAGTAGGGACCCTCTTAAATTGCTGGTGGAAATTTTTTTTTTTTTTTGGAGTTTTGAGACAGGGTCTCACTATGTGGTTGAGACTGACCTGGAACTCATTATGTAGCCCAGGCTGGTCTCGAACTCACAGTGATCCTCCTGCCTCAGCCTCCCAAGTGCTGGGATTACAGGCATGTGCCACCATGCCTGGCGCTGGTGGAAATTTTAAATGGTATAGCTGCTTTGGAAAACAGTTTGGCAGTTTCTTAAAATGTCAGAAGTGGCAGATAAATGTGTTCAGCTTTGAACATTATACAGTGTTTGCAAGTATTGATAACACCACAGTACCCTGTAGCTAGGTACAAATTTGATTTTGGTGCTATGTGTTCAGGATTGAACCCAGGGCTTTATGCTTGCCGAACAGGCTCTCTACCACTGAGCTACATGCCCAGTCTAATACAATTGTATTTATCAGTCATACAAGTTAAATGTGTGTTTAGCCTAGCATCCAACACTTCTACCTGTAGATAGCAGCTCAAGAAAAGAGAAGACAGGCTCTTACTGCTTTTGCTACCTTTGGACCACCATGAACTATTACCACTCTGCCACGTGCCACTCTGCCTTCTAGCCAGCTGATTATGGACTGACACCTCTACAACTCAGGCTCCCAAACTCACAGTCAAGTAACCTTCCAACAGATGATCTTCATTAGCAAATCTACCTGTGACCTGTCCAATTCTTATGCTTAGAAGCAGTGCTAAGACCAGGGCTGGCTTATTTTTCCTATTACAATAGCTAACAAATTGGGCTTGAAGAAAAATTACAGCAGTGTGATAAACATGGGAACAAGAGCTTTGCAGTTACAAGGAAGGAAGAAAAGAAACATCAAGAAAAGGCGTATGACTCTGAACTCCAGCTCACAGTCATTCAGTCATTCTGTGAATGCAATCTGTACCCTTATTGTGTGTAGCTTTCAGTATTCAATTTATTACACATTTTAGAGAACCTTTAGAGAGTTATTTCTAACCAATGCAACGTGAAACCAAAAAAGGAACCAGAAGAGATTAAACTTTTCTAATAATATAATTGGAGATGTGATCAGCCAAAATGAAGAGAATATCTATTTTATATAGGGTCTTAAATTTTATTCCTTAACCCAGAATCATATATGCATACAATTAATTAATAGCTAATGAATTCTGAGAAGTAGAAGTCCCTCAAGAGTGGGCTTAATTAGGGAAAGTGATTATTTATGAGTGAGCATACTCTAAAACTTGGCATGAATAAAATGGGGGCTGAAATCATTTAAAAGTGTGATTCAATCTAGGTATTAACTTTGTGTGCAGTTAACTCATATCAAGAACAAGTGGAAGTTTAGACTAAGTCTGAATTTGTATACATTCTGAATTCAATAGCCGCATTGAGATTATATTATATTGAAGATACATATTTGATCCTTCTGATGCTGCAGAGACCTAGCTACAATGTCAAATTGTGAAGGTGAAAAGTAGGGGGAATCTAACAGAACATGATCTTCAAATGATATCTAACCTCAAAGGTTTGAGGAAAATGTTCTCAAAATGGTAGCAAAAAAAAATGTACTTTTTATGTATTCATCCAATCTTATATTAAAAAAAAGAATGAAGTATTGAATAAATTAATGAACAAATTTAAAAAAGTGAAGACAGGGCCAAGGATTTAGCTCAGTGGTTTCACCACCTGCCTTGAAAACACCAGGTCCCAAGTTTGATCCTCGGTACCAAAAAAAGAAAAAAGTGAAAGGGCTGGGGTTTTAGCTCAGTGGCACTGCACCTGCCTTGTAACTGTAAGGTTGTGAATTCAGTACTACTGGGAAAAAAAAAAAGACACTTGTCCATACACTGAGTTAAATGTTAATGTTCTCAACAGTACTGTATTTGTTTTCTTTTTGTTCAGGGACTTCACACTGAGCTGCATCCCCAGTCCTTTTTATTTATATTTTATTTTGAGACAGGGTCTCATCAAGTTGCC